TCCGATTAGAGGTCAACAGCACCTCCTCCTTACACTGCCATATTTTGAGAATATTTCTAATATTCAGTACAGACCTTCTATACTTGCACAGATTCCTTCCACCGTGGGTTGTGTTGTGATGTTCGGCTTATAATTGTGGCCTATATATCGACTCCAAAAAACACAAAAAAAATATGTTTTCGGCCAACTTCATCCCAAAATTATTATCTGATCGTCATCGAAAATTATAGGCTTTGTCCTTGACCATAACTGGAACCTCATTGAAAATTTCAAAGCGATCAGCGCTATATTTCCGTCCTCTAGTGTGGTAATAAGTTACTAAATAATATCCTGAAAATATTTACGTGTAAATCCCACATACGATAATATAGTTGGTATCAAATTAAAGGCCAAGTACTCCTCTTGGATATATTATCAATTTCTCGGGCCTGTGTCATTTAGGAGTAAATATATACGCCATAGAATACAAATTTTGTCATTTTTCACACAAAAGTCAGGGTCCATTTGATTCGCTAAATATTGACCGATTTTTATCAAAACAGGCATGCTTATTCTTTGGCCCGATCCCCTTCTCCATGTAAAAATTCGCCATATTTGGGCCTCTGGAGCGACAAGGAAATCCGACAAAAATAAAGTTTTTGGTCCATTTCATCCCCTAAATATTAACCGATCTTTACCAAAAACAATAGGGGTCTTCATTGGACAGAACCCATCCTACATGCACAATTTCGTGAAGATTGGTCCATAACTGTGGCCTGTATCGTGTTTACAAGTTATAATGGACAGATGGACGGTCACACATGTCTAAATCGACTCAGCTAGTTGAGATATGACGATCGGTATACTTAAAGGTGGGTTTAGGACCAATATTTCGCGGCGTTACAAACTTTTGGGGCTGCACAAAGCTATAATACCCTGACAACATATTTGTGTAGGGTATAAATACCGTTTTAAAAAACACGGCTAGGTCCGAAATACCGAAAGTACCGCTGGACATTTTCAGGAGGCATTTTATTCTTTGGAAACTGGGAATAACTCTTTCTAAACAATCGGGTCCATCAAAAAAAAATTCCTAAAATGGGTATCTCCATTATATGAGAGCAATATAAAAAACCTTTATATGAGAGCAATATAAAAATTAATCTATATTGAAAATGTTTTGAAATTACAAAATACCATACCCATTCCGGAGGGTATAATAAGAGTACACCTTTAAGCTATATAGACCTGGAATCATTTTCCTTGCTCTACCACCATCTTATATAGAAATAAGATTAAATCCTTAGTAAAAAAAATAATATCGCCTACATAACTAACCAATTTACGAAATGTTTTGACATCGGGGACAACATACAAAAATGCTTACCCAACAATAAATAAATTTGAAATCCAACACTTACCTGAAAATAGAGAAAACACAGTTTAATTAAATAGAAATTCATAAATATAAAACAACAGATAAGTAAATAACAAAAATAAAAATAAGGGCCTCCGAGGATATATCAGATTTTTTTAACGACGTTAATGCTTTAAATTGCAAATAGTTTATAAAAAGTTGGTGTTAGTGGTGGTCATTTCTGCCTCAATTAGTACACCAAAAATCGTTTTGAAAATATAAACAATTCAAAAAAAAAAAATACAACACTACAAAACACAAGAGGTCTGCAATTAATATAACAAAGTCCTAATATCCTACAGAAATAAAAGCAAACGCAGAGACCTAATTGTGTTTAATTTTTTTTCTTTTATACATTTACAGTTATTCTGATTCAAATCTTTCAAATCACATTGAGTACTCACGTAAAGTCATCTACCAACCACATTTCAAAAAAAAAAGGAAAATGAAGTGATTCCGAGTACTGTGTGCGTACTGCATTTTGTAGCCGTCCGACAAATCTGTGACGTAAATCTTGATGACACTGTCAGACGCGCGTACTCACGCACACACTCGTTCTCAGCACGACATCCGACAATATGGAAACACTTAAAGATTTAAAAAGTTGAAAACATTTTGTTTTCATGTTTGTTGTTGTTGTTTTTGTTGGTGTTTTATGATTGTTCAGTCTGTTGTAGATTTTGATGACACATTTCAGACAAGTTACTCACTCAAAAAAAAAAACACACACACGCACACAATTTTAAGTGGCGATTGATGGTGGTGCTAAACTCACCCGTGATGTGAAGAGAGTTTTCCGTTTCACCTATTCGTGGCAGTGACAGACACATGTGGTTATACGTATTTAATATATTTTCTCTACCGGTTCAAAGGAGGCCTTCCATAGGTAGAAGCGTATATACTCGCATTTCTAGGGTCCAGAAGTTCTGATAATCTTATTCTATCTAGAGTACTACTAGTACTTTGCAACAGGTTTGTGGCTAGAAGACATCCTCATGTCTTCAAGGCCTCCAATACTAACTATAGAAGATTCTCTCTCTCTCTTTATATAATATTTTCCATAGAATTTGCATAGATAGGTAACTCTACCAAAGATCGTCTATTTATATGTAAAGTGCAATATATACAATGGGAAAGGACCTTTTCAAAACATGAAAATTTAAAGTAGATGAATCTGAAGATATATACAAAATCCTTCAATATAAATGGCTTTAAGGTCAGTTACATCAGAGTTGTCTACTAAAAAATAGCTGTGTTCAGATTCCACTATTTCCGAATAACTGACTTCAAATGTCGCCCTACTACAATGATACTGGCTTCTGAGGCTTATTATATCTAATTGGCATGACTTCCGAACACAATTTACAGATATTCTATAAGATCAAGACCATTTGCTTTCCTATAGACGGAAGCAATGTCTTCATTAGCGAGAAGATATTTTACAGACACGCATATATAAAAGTCCTCCTACAGATTTTCTCAACAGGTACCTTAGAGATATAGCATAAGGTACGTTTCAAGGCCTGAATTTTTTTAAAATACTAGCCTTACCACTACTATCCTAGCAACCATCCAAGACCACAACTATAAATGAATTTTAGTTCAGTTGAATCAGATCAGATTCCATTTAGAAAAACTTAAGTAGCATCAGATTTGACAGTTTCATTGTAGGTGTCTAAGAGGCTTGTATTATACAGCTGGTCTCCAAAATCGCTGCTGGTAGTATTATAAAGGTGTCAGATGCCAGCTATATCAGAGCTCTTTGCTATACAATCTGGTCTCAGAGGCCACTAACATCATTGGTTACTACTACAGTGTAGCCGACTAATATTCAGTACAGACACAAGAGTTCAATAGATAATATCAGAGTCATCTACGATAACCCTTTTACCACTTTAGATATCTACAATAAAGGTTTATGACGTCAGCTACATCAGTCTATAGTTACTACTGAAGTTACTAATATAGAAAATCTGGTACTGCAGATGAACTGAATTTGGAGGTATTTGTTATACATCTGACCTAGCAAGTCACTAATACAAAGTAACTAGCCCAAGATTGACCATCTAAATGGTACCTGACATCCTCCTGATTGATTTCCGTCTTTATAAAAGATTTTGTTGTGTAACCCTCAGAATTGATCGCCCTACGTGATTCTAACTGGCCAAGTGTCCAGATTTACAAAAGAAACATGAGACCATAACCTTCAAAGTGTTTGTTCCACGGACAACTATCACTACATAAGTCGTGCGCTACTGCTTCTCGAGTCACTAGTCACCAATACTTGAGGAGCTGACACAGAAACCTTGTTGACACCCTAAACCACAATAGGCGAAATTATGGTCCGCTAACGATAGTGCAACACAATGGAAAACATTTAATTATGACAGAATGTCGACCTGAGGATGCAGGGTATAACCTCATGACCCCCGATAGATAACTTAGATGAGTATGTTGTCGGTGCAATGTCTGCTTGGATGTTACCAAAGCAGCCATCGGAACCCAGCCATGTCAGGAAGGATCTTCATGATCTGCGGAAAGAAGTGGAGAGTTAGAAAAAAAGGTACTGTTTATAAATCAACAGGCCTATTAAGCAGAATTGTATTCACACTAATGCTATTAAGGAAGCGTCTCGAGAACACAAAGTTAACACAATTTTCGGAAAACACCCGCAGCTAATAGTATTAGGTTTTTTGGGGAATTGAAATATGGATTTCGTAACCGCTTCAATGCGTAATGGATATGATTTTATGACATGGATGGATATGGATCTGCCCGGTATGTGGTAATGGTGCATATGACATTTTACACCTTTTCTACTGTCCAGCCACATTTACTCACCAAACTCCTATGTGCCCAACTTATACAGGTCGCAACCTTTTTGAGCCTGGAGTTGGAATCAGTATCAGATTAAGCTTAGAAACAAATACATCAACTTCTATAGAATAGCTCGTTTCCACGACAGGAACGTCTACGATCCGAAATGACTTCAGTTTTACTCAGCCCAATTCTGTAAATGTTACAACTAGGGTCTCGCCTGTAAAGTAGTTCGTTTCGGAGTTTACTAAAATGTATCTGACATCAGAGGCGCATTGTGCTGCTTACCTCATATATCTGTATTACTAAGTGCATGTCCTCCGAGGCCTCTAAAATTCACATAGAATATGTTGCAAAAACATTCTATGAATAGCAATCCTTCTATGCAGGTCTCCTATTTTTATAACATTTTTTAAATTTTTATTAAAAATAGTTTTGAATTCAAGTTTTAGGTTCATTTTACGCCGTTGTGTGAAAATGTTATTAATTGTTTTATTAGTGATATGTCTTCCTAATGCAGTTTTTAAATAGTTTATTTACATTATTATTATTTTATTTTTATATTTTTACTTTGCCCACCATTTCATACCACTGTGCAGTAAACGTAGGTGAATTCTGCTATTTATTTGTTATTAATAATTTTGTTTGTTTGTTGATTATTACTTGTTCTAGTTGTTGCTGCTGCTATGAAGTTGAGACAATGTACATGAGAGTCTAATGCTGCTGTCACCGATGCTGTTCAGTTCAGTTCATTTCTGTTAATTCTTGTTAAGTTGTTAACAAATACCCTTGTTCCCATTTTCCACATCAACTTTTGGGGTTGTTACGGGTGGTGCTGCTGCCACTACCACTGCTGCTGCTGACGTTGATGATCTGTTGTCATTGTCTGTTCCCATTTAGACGGATATTTTTGTACGGTACAACAAATCTAAAATCGTCATCAGCAGTAGTAACCTCATCAAATGGCATACTTTTAAAGACCGACTGGCCGACGACACAAATACATAGGTGTACCGAAGAAGAAAAAAATAAAAAAAAAATTGGAACAAACAAAATCTGACGATGCATTCCATGTGTCCATTTGAGCAATCGATTATCAATCGACAACAAGGAGATTGATTTCTCTTTTTTGCCCAGAGATTTTTTTCGTTGAAGGTATTTCCAATGAGAAAAAAGCAACAGCAGTTAACTGTTGGCCCATTTCCGCCATTGAGAGCTGTTTTTCAGATTAGGCAGATTAAAATTCACCAGCCACAACAACAACTACTCACATTTCTTTTGGTTTTTTGTGAAAGTTTTGATTTTCATTTTTTGGCAACAATCACCACTTAAATGTGTTTTTCTTTTATTATTTTTTTTTTCCGTTGTATGCGTGTGTTTATGTGTAAATTTGTCATTTTTTATTTTTCGGTTTGTTAATGTCTGCGGAAGACGAAGTGTCGTCAGCAGTGGCATTCAAAATTCGTATATTTTTTAATTTTTTTTTCAATTTTTCCCCATCCTCTGCTCGATGAGGTTTATAATCTTTGATTTTATACCCTTCACCACACTGTGGTACAGGGTATTATGTCTTTGTTCATATGTTTGTAACAGGCAAAAGGAATCGAGATAGACCCATAGTTCCTTTTGAGAATATGCATAGAATCACTTTCTGAGTCGGTTTACGCATGTCCGTCTGTCAGTCTGTCTGTCTGCCTGTCCATGTATTTTTGTGAACAAAGTACAGGTCGCATTTATGATCCGATTTGGATGAAATTGTCATAGGTCCCTTATTTGGCCCAAGGACGAACCCTATTGAAATTGGGAAAAATCGGTCCAGATTTAGATATAGCTCCCATATATATTTTCGTCCGATTTAATGTAAATGGCGTACCAATGTCCCTATATATCGTTCGTTTTGCACGAAATTTGGCATAGCGTAATGAATTATGCCTAGAATGATGTGTGTCAAGTTTCCTGGAAATCGGTCCAGATTTAGATATAGCTCCCATATATATTTTCGTCCGATTTAAGGTAAATGGTACGCCAAAGTCCCTAAATATCTTTCGATCTGCACGAAATTTGGCACAGCGTAATTAATTACGTCTAGAATGATGTGTGTTAAGTTTCTCGAAAATCGGTTCAGAATTAGATATAGCTCCCATATATATGTTCGTCCGATTTAAGGTAAATGGTACACCAAAGTACCTATATATGTTTCGATTTGCACGAAATTTGGCATAGCGTACTGAATCAAGTCTAGAAATATTTAGATATAGCTCCCATATATATTTTCGTCCGATTTTATGTAAATGGTGCACCAAAGTCTCTATATATCCTTCGATTTGCACGAAATTTGACATAGCGTATTGAATTGATACTAAAATGATGTGTGCTAAGTTTCGTGACAATCGGTTCAGATTTAGATATAGCTCCCATATATATTTTCGTCCGATTTTATGTAATTGGTGCACCAAGGTCCCTAGGGTACTGAATTAAGTCTAGAATGATGTTGCTAAGCTTCGTGAAAAGATCCATAGCTAGGCCGATTTACACAACGTACTGATGTAATATAAATTAGTCTCTGGCAAATTTCCCTGAAATCGGTTCAGATATATTCTACATATGTTAGGATACATATGTAGAATGTACCCAAAGTGGTGAAGGGTATCATATAGTCGGCCCAATCCGACTTTACTACTTACTTTACTGGTTTTTTAATTTCTTAATAATTTTTACTATGTTCAATAGAATTTCATTCCAATTAAAGGGAACTCAGTTTACCTGCACCATGTCGTCTTTCCTTAATAAAAATCATATTGAGAAGTTTTAGTTGAAAAATTGGAAAATATGCCATCTATTCCGTATACATACGGATACGTAAGTATGTATGTATGTGTTAATATTTGAAGCTCTGTGTACACATGCATCTCATATAGTAGAATGATTAAATGTGATTCATGTTCTTTGAATTGGGCAATCGACAAGAATGCACCGCACCGCCAAACATTTTATAAATATAATCGAAATAAATTATAATGAGATGATGATACTGGGCCATTATTAGTCGAGTATAGAGACAAAGTCAAAAGAAACAAAAAATATGTATGTATTTTTTATTCAAATGTGAAATATTTCATTTCCGCTTTTGAAATTAAATAATAAAATTAACTTGGGAGTCCGCAGAGTCCAATATAATAAAGAAACTGGCTTCAGAGTGTGCTAATATGGAGAAGTTGGTCTCAGGAACCTCCTCTGGTCTCAAAATGCATTCGCTGGTCTCAGGCGCCACTTCTAAATTATATGTGGACTTCAATCGCTACAATATATCATGTGTTGTGGCCTTTGATATAAATTAGGTGGGATTGAAAATTCGTCTGGAAAATCACTGGCCTGATTATTGTTCACTAAACTAAAGGTAGCTGAGGTTGGCCTCAAAATGCATCTGTTTTTGATTCGCTGGTTTCAGATGCCACTTCTATTGTATATATGTACTCCAATCGCTATAATATAGCCCAGATGACTTCACGGGACTCTGCTATATATTTGCTGGACTCGATAATTCTTCTAGAAAATAAATGACCTGTAAAATATCAACTAAAAGAAAAAGTATCTAAGGTAAGTCTCATCAGTCGCCTTCTGTATTGAATTAGCTGGCCTCAAGATGCATATATTTTCCTGGTGTCAGATGCAACTTCTATATTATAAATATGGACTTCAATTGATTTAATATGGCCTGGATAGCTGCAGAGACCTCTGATATAAATTAGCTAGGCTCGGGAATTGTTCTAGATAAAAACTGATCAGTATAAAGTTCACTAAACCAAATGAAGTAGCTGGCCTCAAAATTCATTTATTTTAGATTCGTTATATATTAGCTGAGATCGAAATAACTGGCCTGAAAAATGTCGCTCTGTATTGAATAAAAAATCATCTATATTAGATTCGCTAGTGTCAGACACCACTTCTATAGTATATAAGGACTTTGTAAATAATGTGTCGTGGCCTCTTTTAGAAAACAGCAGCTAAATTTAGAATAATAAATTAACTGCACTCAGAGAGCAGTTTTTTCAGAGTACCTTTCCCACTACAAGAGTACCTGACTTTAGATGCCACTACCATAAATCAGTCATCTAAAGCCTTTACTATATAAAAATCCGTTTCAGAAAATTTAGATTTCATTCAAACTTTGCCACTACCATAAATCAGTCATCTAAAGCCTTTAATGCATGATGAAATGATTACAACAGAGTCTTAGAACCAAACTCAAAACGCGGAATAAATCAGATAACTATTTTAATATAAAAAGGGGGTTATATGGGGACTACTACCAAAAAGAGGGCGAATATTAATAATTTTTGGTAGGGATATTTGTTAACATATACGACTACAAAATACCAAATTACAGCGAATTCGGTTGAAAACCGTGCTCAAGAACCGCAAAATACCGAAAATTGGAGGGTACCCTTATATGGGGGCTACCCGAAAAAAATTGACCTATATTTATAATTTTTAGTGGAGAGAATTGCTTCGCAATAAGAGCTCAAAGTACCAAATTTCAGTGAATTCGGTTGAAAAACGGGCTCAAGAATCCCAAAATACCGAAAATTGGGGATACCCTTATTTGAGGGCTACCCGAAAAAATGGACCTATATTTATAATTTTTTGTGGAGAGATTTGATACCCAATAAGAACTTAAATGTCTAAATTACAGCCAATTTGGTGAAAAAATTACTGAAAACCCCCCAAAAACTGAAAATTACCGTTATATGGGGGCTACCAGAAAAAGTGGACCTATATTTATAATTTTTGGTGGAGAAATTTGGTATCCAAAAAGAACCCATTTTATCAATTTTCAGCGAATTCGCTCAAGAACACGAAAATACTGAAAATTTGGGGGTACCCTTATATGGGAACTATGCCTAAACATGGACCGATATAGCCCATCTTCGAACTTCGAATGTGCCTGCAGACAAAAGACGACTCTATGCAAAATTTTGGAGATCTATCTCAATTCGTTTCGACGCTAGAGTGATTACAACAGACAGACGGACATGCTTAGATCGTCATAGAATTTTACGCTGATAAAGAATATATGTATATACTTTATAGGGTCGGAAATGATTATTTCGATGCGTTACAAACGGAAAAACAAAACTAATATATCCTCCATACTATGGTAGAGGGTATAACAATAACTGGCATCAGATTTCACAGGCTCGCATTTTACAGCTTGTCTAAAAAATCGCAACTGTTAATATTATAAAGGGGTCTGAGGTCAGCTATATCAGAACTCTCTGCTATAGAGTAGCTGGTCTCACCGGTCCCTAACTTCATAATTTACTAATATAGTGTAGCTGACTAATATTGAGTACAGGCCCAAGAGGTCAGTATATATCATCTACTGACCTCTTGGGTCTTGTTACCATCATAGATCTCTACAATAAAGGTTTCCTATACTGTTATATAACCGATCCCAGATGCCTTTTCTAAGGTGTAGATGGATGGCTTAAAGTGTTACACCTCAAAAGTCTTCACTATAATTTAGCTGACCTAACAACAAAGATTATTTACCCCGCAAGGACTTCACTCTTTAGAGACTGTGCTCAGAATTTGCTATGGAGTAGACATACTTTTTTTATTTAGAAATGCCATAGAAGTTGCCCTCAGAATTTTTCCATTATATCCCCACAAACTGGCTTCAGAGTGTGCTAATATAGAGAAGTTGGTCTCAGGAACCTCCTCTGGTCTCAAAATGCATTCGCTGGTCTTAGGCGCCACTTCTACGTTATATGTGTGACTTCAATCGCTACAATATATCATGTGTTGGTGGCCTCTGATATAGGTCGCCTGAAACTAGCCATAGATTAATTAACCTTAGAGACACAAAAATAAGTTGTGGCAGCAAAACTGGTCA